GTAGATACCAGACATTTGTTTGTTGTGTAGATACCAGACATTGGTTGTAATTTATAAAGTGATTTTTGTACAAACCAATTGACTGTAAACAGGGCATTTGGAGCATGTGTTTAATCTGAGTTTTCATAACATATGATTATTTATTTTGGAGTTAAATCGTGATGATCTTTCATAAACCATAAGTGCACATGTATATCACCATATATATAAGTCGCACGTGGTAGTACATGTGTCTATTGAATAAAGAACATCAATCTATATTGTGTGTGAAGGGTTTACACTCGCGGTATCATAAAAAGAGATTTACCTGTGCGCGGTTCTCTTTTTATCCTTAACACACGACGTTAACATCATAACGTCATATACAATGTATAGAAACACGTCATATACAGTGTATACAAACACGTCACATACAGTGTATACAAACACGTCATATACAGTGTATACAAACAAGTCATATAGAGTTTTTATAGACATGTGATATACAGTGTATAGAAACGCGTAATATCCAGTGTATACAAACAAGTCATATCCAGTTTTTATAGACATGTGATATCCAGTGTATAGAAACACGTCAGATACAGTGTATAGAAACACGTCATATGGGGGGTATAGAAACACGTCATATACATTGTATAGAAACACGTCATATACAATGTTTATAGACATGTGATATACAGTGTATACAAACAAGTCACATACAGTGTATACAAACACGTCACATACAGTGTATAGAAACAATCATATACAGTGTTAATAGACATGTGATATACAGTGTATAGAAACACGTCATATACATTGTATAGAAACACGTCATATACAGTGTATTGAAACACGTCATATACAGTGTATAGAAACACGTTATATACAGTTTATAGAAACACGTCATGTACAGTGTAGACAAACACGTCACATACAGTGTATAGAAATAATCATATACAGTGTTAATAGACATGTGATATACAGTGTATAGAAACACGTCATATACAGCGTATAGAAACACGTCATATACAGTGTTTAGAAAGACGTCATATAAAGAGTATACAAACACGTCACATACAGTGTAAAAAAACACGTCATATACAGTGTATAGAAACACGTCATATACAGTGTATTGAAACACGTCATATGCAGTGTATAGAAACACGTTATATACAGTTTATAGAAACACGTCATGTACAGTGTATACAAACACGTCACATACAGTGTATAGAAACACATCATATACAGTGTATAGAAACACGTCATATACAGTGTATTGAAACACGTCATATACAGTGTATAGAAACACGTCATATACAGTTTATAGAAAGACGTCATATACAGTGTATAGAAACAAGTCATATACAGTTTATAGAAAGACGTCATATACAGTTTATAGAAATAAAGACGTCATATACAATGTATAGAAACACGTCATATACAGTTTATAGAAACACGTCATATACAGTGTATAGAAACACGTCATATACAGTTTATACAAACACGTAACAGACAGTGTATACAAACACGTCATATACAGTGTATAGAAACACGTCATATACAGTGTATAGAAACACGTCATATACAGTGTATAGAAACGCGTCATATACAGTGTATAGAAAGACGTCCAGTTTATAGAAACACGTCACGTCACATACAGTGTAAAGAAACACGTCATATACAATGTTTATAGACATGTGATATACAGTGTATAGAAACACGTCATATACAGTGTATTGAAACACCTCATATGCAGTGCATAGAAACACGTCATATACAGTTTATAGAAACACGTCACATACAGTGTATAGAAAGACGTTATATACAGTGTATACAAACACGTCACATACAGTGTATAGAAACACATCATATACAGTGTATAGAAACACGTCATATACAGTGTATTGAAACACCTCATATGNTATACAGTTTATAGAAACACGTCATATACAGTGTATACAAACACGTCACATACAGTGTATAGAAACACATCATATACAGTGTATAGAAACACGTCATATACAGTTTATAGAAACACGTCATATACAGTGTATACAAACACGTGACATACAGTGTATACAAACACGTCATATACAGTGTATAGAAACACGTCATATACAGTTATAGAAACACGTCATATACAGTGTATAGAAAGACTTCATATACAGTGTATAGAAAGACTTCATATACAGTGTATACAAACACGTCACATACAGTGTATAGAAACACGTCATATACAGTGTATCGAAACACGTCATATACAGTGTATAGAAACACGTCGCATACAGTGTATAGAAACACGTCATATACAGTTATAGAAACACGTCATATACAGTGTATAGAATAACGTCACATACAGTGTATACAAACACGTCATCTACAGTGTATAGAAACACGTCATATACAGTGTATTGAAACACCTCATATGCAGTGTATAGAAACACGTCATATACAGTTTATAGAAACACGTCATATACAGTGTATAGAATCACGTCACATACAGTGTATACAAACACGTCATATACAGTGTTAATAGACATGTGATATACAGTGTATAGAAACACGTCATATACAGTGCATAGAAACACGTCATATACAGTGTATAGAAAGACGTTATATACAGTGTATAGAAAGACGTTATATACAGTGTTTATAGACATGTGATATACAATGTATAGAAACACGTCAGATATAGTGTATAGAAACACGTCATATACAGTGTATAGAAACACGTCATATACAATGTATAAAAACACGTCATATACAATGTATAGAAACACGTCATATACATTGTATAGAAACACGTCATATACAGTGTATAGAAACACGTCATATACAGTGTATACAAACTAGTCATATACAGTGTATACAAACTAGTCATATACAGTTTATAGAAACACGTCATATACAGTGTATAGAAACATGTCATATACAGTGTATAGAAACACGACATATACAGTGTATAGAAAGACGTTATATACAGTGTATACAAACAAGTCATATACAGTTTTTATAGACATGTGATATACAGTGTATAGAAACACGTTATATACAGTGTATACAAACAAGTCATATACAGTGTTTATAGACATGTGATATACAGTGTATAGAAACACGTCATATACAATGTATAGAAACACGTCATATACAGCGTATAGAAACACCTCATATACAGTGTATACAAACTAGTCATATACAGTTTATAGAAACACGTCATATACAGTGTATACAAACAAGTCATATACAGTTTCTATAGACATGTGATATACAGTGTATAGAAACACGTCATATACAGTGTATACAAACAAGTCATATACAGTGTTTATAGACATGTGATATACAATGTATAGAAACACGTCATATACAGTGTATAGAAACACCTCATATACAGTGTATAGAAACACGTCATATACAGTGTATAGAAACACGTCACATACAGTGTATACAATCACGTCATATACAGTGTATAGAATCACGTCATATACAGTGTATTCAAACACGTCATATACAGTGTATAGAATCACGTCATATACACTGTATACAAACACGTCATATACAGTGTATAGAATCACGTAATATACAGTGTAGACAAACACGTCATATACAGTGTATAGAATCACGTTATATACAGTGTATACAAACACGTCATATACAGTGTATAGAATCACGTCATTTCTTGAGGCGGGATTCATTTTCTTAAGTTTTTCCTTCCTTAAAGTGGCTTCGAACGCGCATTAAAAATTACTAATGCTTGCTTTGCTGAAGATAAATTTTGAAAATTAATGTTACCGGTTATTGACAAAACGTGTTTTCTTGTTTGTATTTGTTATTGAGTCATTGTGTAAATAAAACTACCTGAAGTCTCCCGTAATGAAAACAAATTTATACTAAAATGCTCTAAGTATTATGTGCCGTGAACATTTCATGTATTAAAAAATTTCGTGTAACGATATATTTAAAATGAATGCCATTTATTTCAATTTCGAAATAGATACGACAAATTGTTTTACTATGAAAAAGAAATAAAGAATGCGTCTCCTTCTTTAACAATATTCGTCAAACTAATGGATTTGTTAAAGTGCGCGCTGAAGAGTCCAAAGGTCATGGATTGCAGCTATCACGTAAGATGTTCACGTTGTATGCTAAAAATATTTTCCCGGGCTATTTATTGATGGCTATCATTCTTATCTCAGTCTCGTTAGTAAGTTTTCAAAACCTAGACAAAGACTAGATTACTTTCACGATAGAGATGAATAGTATATGATACCCTGCTTTACTCGATGCATCGCTATCTTTTATATCAAGACAATGGATAGGGTCAGTAAATGTCACGAGCTGAATGCATGCATAGTCCATCATTTCCTATTTCCACCTATGACACCATACTTAACGTAGCTAGGTTACAGTCCATACATATTCATATTAGTACACATATATATATATCTGACATATAATGTCCTTTCATGGGATTAATGTAAGGTCATCAAAATAGCTTTGTTCTTGTGTATACACCGGTCGCAGTTAATAGTACTTGTTTTCATTTTTGATATCATGTTATCATGTTCATTGTTGTCGGTCAGGTCAAAGGTCATTCGGCAAAGCCCAGCTTACCCAATGTAAGCGCCTTATTAAAAGAAGCATATAATTCCATTTTGCTTTTGTTACCAAGGGGCAGGTGTAAGTACTGAAGACAAGTGGTAGCCTTGGGCAGTTCTGCCCGGGGCTCGGACCGATTGAACCCTACATTCATGGAGAAGTCGTGCACGGGTAGATCATCTAAACCCGTTATGAACTGAAACAGCTTTGCCGCTTCTTCATCTGGAAAAAAGAAGACTTATTATTATAATAATGTCCAAGTATAGTCATCCTCGAAAACGTTAGGCAAAGACAATGAATATTGATATTTTCCAAAACATATGTCGTTTTTGTTGGACAAGATATCTTTAACAAAGTCCTTATGTAACTTGTAAAGAGAAGTGTTATCGTAACTATTCTGTAAAATCTTGATATGAAACAGCTCAAGGGCTTAACATCGTATGTAGATAGCAAACACGCGCAGTGATAAAATACGAAATAGAACTCTTTACGAAAAGGGGAAGGATTTACCCAGGAGACGGTAAAACATACCATTAACCTCTACATAGGTCTGAGGAGGTATATAGCCACAACCTACATTTTAGAATGTAGGTGAAGATGAATTGTTGTAAAGTAATACAGGAAAGAGTACTTAACTATAAAGCCTATTCACATACCGTTTAGATCTTTCAACAGTTCCGTCGTTAACGCTTTGGTGTTTTCCTCTTGCGCGTTATTTGTTGACAATTCTGCAACTTTCGGTAGCAATTTATCTTTGATATATAGGGCTGTCGTCGCTCGCTTGTCCCTCGTAACGAAGAATCTACAGAACTCCTCGTATTCCTTTGTGCTCTCTAGAAAGGACAATGTTCTAAGACCGCGCTTGATTTCCTCTAAAGATTCTTTTCGCTTGTCAATAAGGTACCATTGCAGTAGGGTCTGAATATATCGCATTCTGTTGGACAACTGTAAGAACAAAAGGCAACATGTCAATTCAAAAGCTAACGGACATTATTAGTATTTATTACATTATTTGGAAAGCAAAATATGAATCGAAACAGTCAGAATTTGATAATGAGGTGTTTATAGCTGGACAGGCGGTCAACAAATTAATATAACTGCACCATATAGCAGTTGCGTCCTTCAAGAACCAATCGGTAATGCTAAGGACTAAAAAGGTAGGCATCCAAATAGGTCTAAAGTACTGTTGAATCATGAGTGGAGATCCATGAAATCCCTTAATTATATGAATTTGACAAAAACAGAGGAGTGTTTATTCCTATCGTATCAATATTGAACCATTTGCGTATATCATGAACCCTGACACTATTGAAAAGAGACAACAGTGGTTCCATGAATTCAGGTTACGCTACACTTCAAGGACCAAGAAATCAACTAGCATTGTATACCACATTTTGTATCTATATATTCTATATATACAATAGATTCGGAATATATAAAATAAAAGTTTGCGACTCGTATAAGTACGGACTTTTCTACTTCTTAGTTGAATAATAAAATGTTACTCTTGATCTAGAGATTTTTAAAAAAAATGCTTTATAATTTCAGATCTATAAACGTTGCCCTTCCCTTTTGTTTGATAAGCTAATATCGTTTTGAATGATATAACAAACAAATAATATCATGTCTTTAAAATTTTAATTGATACGACCTGATTCACTGCTATTTAAGGATCACCGTACCACCTCGTAAAAACTGTAACAATATATCATGAAGAGTTCTTTCCCGACTGATTAAAGCTTTGATAAATGATTTCTGAAAAAACACCATAGCTTATGGGGTGTTTATGAAATAAAGAAACAAATAAATAAAACTGAAAAAAACGAAATTCAGAATGTAAAACAATCAGTTTGGCTAACCAGGGATTGGAACCATTGACTTCAGTTAACTATGCATTGTACTTAAAGCTTTCATTCTAACCGACTACTGTTCTGCCTGGTCACCGAAAGTGTTCTTGCCCAACTGTGCAACAGTTATACTTAAACGATATAAGGGGAAGTTTACTGTATATAGATAAATCCACAGTGCAGTGAGACAGGAATCTATTAGTTACTATACTAGCAATAGTATTAGATCCCATGAGATTTAAATAGGTCTTTACTGTGATCCTTTCGACACTGGACCAGCCGCAGTAATCCGTGAACCTCTCCGATTCTTCTCCAATGATCTTATCAATCTCATCCTGACAAACAGCTGCGTTCACCTGTGTATATATATATATATCAAAATATCAATTGTTCAGTGAAAAATTATAACGGTCTTCCTGCTGCAAGTGATAAACTTGAACAACTTTGTACATGCAGACAGTAATTCACCGTCTACGTTGCTCAGTAGGAAAAATGTGTTCAAACCAAATTCATCAAACACTTTTCAGAAAACCAATATTATTTCAGGGTGCTTTCACGAAGTGGTTGTCACTCATTTCATCATTGCACTATAAAGATCATGTTTGTTACACATTCTAAGCATTAACGATGACACATGTATATCATATCAACTTAAAATCAAATGTCTGTTGTCACCAAAAGAAAACTACCTTTGAACTGTTTCTGTATTACAATGTTGTCCGTATGTCGTTAAGGCTTTGGCAGCTCCTTCATATACCTTTCTTTTTAAATTTTGATTCGCCATATTTAATAGCGTTTTTATTCTTAAGATAAGAAAGTTATGGTGCATTTGAACGTTTAATATCATTACACTCTTGCTACGGTAAACATTGACAGCTGCTATCACATTTTAGTGAACGTTTATATATATCTCTAAGAAAGCAGTCAATACATGTTTGACACTTACCGCGTCTATGTGCTGCACCAGGTAAGTGTTGACCACATATATTGTGCTTAACTCATGCAAAAACTCCTGGTCTCTTAGAAAACTGACAATAAAAGGCGGAAAATAAGGAAAGCCAGGTCCTTCACTTAGCAGGGAGAGCACGATTGCCTTGCCGAGGTAATAAAACCAATCAGCTCTGGCTTTATTGTGGGTCGGTAAGAGGAAACCTCCTTTCCCTGAAATAATAAATACTTCATAAATACGATATATTTTAGTGATATCTTTTTTAAATGATGAGTAAAGTGTCAATTAACAGGAACGGAAGTAACAATGTGAATATATTGTGTATATAATACATCGTCTATGTAATATCTGTAGAATCTGAAGTGTTTGACATCTTGGTGTTATTGTTGTCTATAACTTCAAAAATAATCACACACTGTGACGTCAGAATGTAAACAATTACGATGAAGTCATTAATTGAAAAGAAGTCTGCTTAAAAATGCAACATAAAGTTCATGACCAACCCCATCCATTCAATTATCTGTGTTCCCCCATTAAGAGTTATCCAGAACAATGCCAATTACCAACGATTTGAGGCACAAAAAATGAAATTATACCAACCTTCAAACATGTCAAGTTGTTTCTGATTAAGGAATTCATTGAGAAACAGCGTAAAAAACTCCCGGTTCGGACCACCAAGGTTGACGTTCCGTTCCTCCTGGTTATCGGTCAAGAAGGTGACGTCTATGGGTGATAACTCGGAACCCGACTGTTTCATTTGTGATATCCCAATGACGAATAGGTTTTGACGACCCACTTTCAAAGCGAAAGTTTTTCCAGTTTGTTGTTTTCGTAATTGGCAAATAATGTTCTCAAACTTCCCACGATTACCTTTATCAAGATAAAACAAGTTTGAAAAGCAAAACAAAAAACAAACAAAACACTTGCAAAATAAATTAATACATTGTGATTTAAATGTTAGGCATACCATGAATCTGCTGTTCTATAAATTTATTTCACAAAATCTACATATATGTTGTTGCAAGACAAAGATATACACAAAACACATATCTGAAGACAAGACATGTGTCATTTTAACCAAACGACAAATGTTACATGTATCACAAGAGACATGTCAGGACATAACAGAAACTCACACAAGACACGTGTTAGCTTGTATCACGCAATTGTAAAACATGTTAACAAATAACTGACCTCAACTTATAATAATGATTTCCTCCCTACTCATCGGGAGGCAATAGCGTCTACATCTTAGCGTCTACATGTATTCCGAAACGGTCAATATCAACCTAATGTGTAACTTTACCTTGGGCCATCACTTGTTCTCGCTTTACAGCCGACTTAAGTTCCATGACAGATGGATCGTTCCCCATGATTCCTGTCGATGTCTGGTGTCTAGATCTGTTTTTACTTGCTACAAGTAAATACAAAGTTAATTAAAACAACGAAACTAGGTAGATTATATAAAGTATAATATGTATTTTGTAATAAATATAATATTCATTGTGTCCAAATAAGGTCATTATTCGTGATTGTATTGTTTATCGTAATTGCGCTTTCCCCCTCTTTTCAATGATGTAGTGATTCAGCCCAAATGAAGGGGAAAAGAAAATACTTGATCGATCAAGTAACAGTAAATCAGGATGCTTTAATTCTTTTCGGGTTTTCAGCTAATTTTATGACAGGTTAAAAAGACATCTATTGTAAGTGGTTCTCCTCCAAGTCCTCTTTATTTTACCACAAGCAGAAAACAAAGTCACGATCTGGAGGTCACTTATCGAGACATACCTTTATATAACGAGAGGCCCGCGGGCTTTACGGTCACGTTGTTGTTATACAGTTGTTTTTGTTATTGCTACATGACGCGGAAATCATGTATATACAAGAACGTAGCACATGTACTGCAAATATGGAAAAAAAGATACTTAATAATGCTGGGGAGTGACCAACATATATCATATAAATAGCTGATATATTACAGTCACTAAAAGAAAGAAATAATCTTCGTATTTCATGTCCATATTCTTCTATATCACCTAAAGTATTGATTATTATGGTATGACATTACATTTTAAGATAAAAAGACCTCGGTCACCCTCGGTATTATGAAAGTTTATAAGTATGATAAAGTTATGGGAATTTCCATCTATGAACAAATAGCTTATATAAGGGTTACAATGTATGGGAACTATGTTGAAATTTTAGTCAATTTGACCAATATTGCTCACGCAACTCTGGTCCTCTTGGGGTGAAAGCAAATTTATTTATGATTTTGGTTCGGTTTGTCCATGGACATTTTCTGAGAGTTTATTGGTTCTGGGGGTTTTGATGGCAATTATAAAATTTGAATTGTTTTAGGGCGAGAGGTGGAGGACGGGCGAGAGGTGGAGGACGAACGAATCACGATAGCATTGGTTGCATAAGACTATGTCTCAGGTGACTACTACATGTAACAAACAAATCGATCGACAATAATCACAGTCATAACATGTTACAGCAGACGTTAGTGTCAGGCCTAACACCGATTCCAGGTCAATGTTTTTTTACATGGAGATTGATTTGCAGTATATTTTTATTTCTATGTGTCGTTATGAAGGTGGACGATTTTGAATATGATCATTTGTGTGTCCGTTGGTTTGGTTGTCACTTCCTCATTTCCCGATTCGAGGACGTAACATTACTTGGATTCGACTAAGATTTACATGGCGGGTGTCATCAATGAAGCAGAAGGCGCTTACACTTCCGGAACACCTGGTTTTAATATCCTTGTACTTTTTCAAAGGGTATCCATGTGAATCGTTCCTTTGGTCCTATTTTACCATAGTTCTATCGAACATGAGTTGGAATTACAGATCTGTTGATACTTTATTTTACTATTGTTGTTGATTCTTACTACCTCTTACGATCAATTCTAATTATCATATTAAAGCCATTGTATATAGAACTTACACAACTAAATTAGCCAATCAGCCAGTGTTACATACGATTGTAATCCCTAACTAAATTTGTTCCGGTTTAATACAGTGCCTATGAATAATTTTAATGGGTAATTGTTGACATATTTCACATTGAATTCAATAGGTATTTAACTTTAGATTTGTTTTTAGTTTTTGTTAATGTAAATATGTAATGGCGGATGGATATGGGGTCAAAAGTCAGGAGTGTTCTTGTCCCACTTCGCCGGTTTGGCTTGTAAACTTCCGGTTGTCAAAAGCAGACGCCTGTAGCGCTCTTATATTCCACTAAACTCGCCAAAAATGCCTTTTAGAGCCTTTGTCTGGTATGTATATATGAATTTAGCTATTAGCTAAGCTTAGTAATAACATTAAGTAAATGATTTTGCTGTGTGAGTCCTTCACTGTATGCTGGATCATACGATTACTTTTGAATGAAACACAAAGCAATCTTCGTAATACAACATTGTCCGGATGGAAGTCACGTTGTTGTCAGAAACAATGGTTCATTATTAAAACATCAACACTCTGTTCTACTACATGCATAATAAACACATTGTTAGAATATGTGTACGGTTGTTGATGCCCGGTTGATATACACAAATGAACAGACCATTTTGAATCTTTCTATCCTGTAATAGAATACTTGGACGTGGTACGCTGTATAGTATACATCAAATATAACGAGTTCAAGCCTATTACCCTCTGATAAAGCAATGCGATAGGAAACCTGAAAAACATATTCAAGTCATGTTCCATTTTACGATGGATTTTAAATTCCTTAACATGCTCTCATACAAATAAATAAAAATAAGCTTAAGACGAGTATTCTTAGGGCCAACTTTTAAATAAATTTCCTTAAATAACCAGTACTGGTCTGTCAAGGTATGTCAGATACACACAACAGTAGTCGTTTCCTACCTGAAAGTTATCAGTGGTTATCCCTTCCCTGGTTTTATGAAAATAATGAAACAGGTGAAAATTAAATCAAGTTCATGTAAAGATAACTGTATTTAACCGTTAACTTTAAGGTAAAGATAAGGCCATTTACAACCAGCTATGTAAAACACATCGGTATCATTGATACTGGATTATCAAGCCGCTATTTACCTGTACAGTTTGAACGTGTAGCCCTCCTAGGGTACTCTTCACGTGTAGCGTGGTAAGTACATGCACTGCCTCTGGAATACGACAAAGGTATTTACAACTAACAAACAGGTTACCCTTGTTCGTCAAATATTTTTTCCTGACCTCATCAATCGATTGAGTTCTCGGTAATTTTACTTCCTTGATTGGAAATATGTACACATTCACTAAATAATGCCTACCCCTGTTCCTGCCACAGATATTTGGGATTATTCAGGCATGACGGCAATATAATTATACAGATGATTACTTTGTAGATCGCATGTATGTACTCCGATATATGCAAACGTTATAATTTATTTTCAATCACTGCGCCTACCATTTACATAATTAATGTATCACAATTTTTCATATGTAGAAAATATACCTAAAACAGCGTTGGGTGTAAAGACAAAAATAAAAGCGTATTCATACATAACGAAGACATATTCGGTGAGGGTATAAATAAATATAATTTAAACCGATTGGAATGTAATGATTTTCTCTTTGGTATGCAATACGCCAATAGGTGGCGCTATCGGTGGTATTTGCACGTGTAAATAGGCTTGACAGGTAACGATAAGCACACGTGCCTATGTCGCTGGGAAATACAGTTTTGATTCATGTTGTTTATCCTATTGGACAATACAGAAGAGAATACAAACAAAGTGAAGACGGGTGTTGATCTCAATTTATGATATATCAGATAGGTGTCGTGATATTGCTGTTATGTACATGCAATTTATTACATTACACTTTTTCTTATGTCATACAAACTATAATCTCGTTCCCACGTTCTTTTGAGGGTGGTTTCCCTGAGCAATCTACAATACAAAATCAATGTGTGTGGTCTTTCTGCCACTTGTCAACCGTCGATGGAATTATTGTATTACCAATAGACTATAAAAGGATCCATAATGTCTTGCATTTCAGGTCAACAAGTAGGTTATAATTATACATACCTACACACCAGAATCTTGACGTTTTGTCCGAAGATATATAGACTACAGGTCAAGCAGATAGCGACAAAATCCGAACTCTTGAGATTTATTGATCATTTTATCAGACAGTATATCTACCCACATAGCTTGTATTCATGTGTGATCAGGTTATGATCACTACCTGTGGCCCAGACAGTGCAAGATCAATCAGTTACGCCATACTTACAGAAACTTAGGTGTAACAAAAAGCAGGTATAAATAGATAAAATAGCTCCCGCCTTAGGTTTCATTTTTTTTATCAATTCACACAAAACATATGAATTACAGGGTGAACTATTTTTGAAAATAACTAATTAATAGACTTATTGATAAATTTAATATGGAGAAAAACAGGACAATATTTTTTTAAATAATATTCTGAGATTAAATTAAACGAAACCATGATCCAAGAAAATGTGTTCCACCGATCTACTTACTATCAGTCCCTGATGTAAAACCCGAAAACAAATTAAGCTCGATTATAAGTGGAGCAGACAAAATATCCGTCACTGTCACGCAACTTTTTTCCGCAAGGCAATACAAGGCAGTTGTATATAAAAAGTTAATAGATTTAAAACCCGTCATAAAAAACGAGCAGATTTCATTCGTCACTGGACTCTTTACGTTTATGTCAAAAGCCGTCACTAGTCATTGCCCTCACACATTAAAGTAAGGTGATATTATCACGAAACACACTGGAACAGACGACAAAATAGTGTATAATCTAACTATTTCATACTGAGACTGGGTTTATTGCATAAATATTTTTCCTCGTTTCGTTGAGTAGGATCTGGTAAATATAGTTTCTATTATATCAGAAGTAACATTAGAATTATAAAATAATTAACCTGTAACAATCATTTTAAATTCGATGTATATTCGTTGAATGTTGTCATTGAAAATAAGGGACAAAACGGTCATTATTTCCGTAAGCGATCCTTATGAGACCTAAGCATGCTTAAATATGTTTATTTATGATAATTGATTAATTTACTGCAGTTTAAATCTTAAACCCACCGTATCGATTCAGGATTGAAACACCAGTAGCTTTTTAAAGGAACATGTTTATTCAAGATGCCAAGCATAAATATAATGAGAAAAAATAGCATACACAAAACATTCTTTCCATCACATGTAAATTCATCCCTAAATACACTCCATTTGTTTCTCAAACATGCAAACGTTAGTCCAGAATTTACTGAAAAATATTTCGAAATTTTGCTCAAACAGCAATTGAACCAAGCCAGTGCCAAAAGAAATATTGACGAGAGATTGGCAAACTTACTTTTATATGCAAGTGATTATCTTAAAAACGAAAAGATTGTTTTAGGACATAGATATAGCATGCAAGGCACACATGGCGTCGATATCTGACAGTGCCGACCACAGCAAACACTCACAAAGAGAAGCTTTGTCATGAAAATGTAAATCGATAATTTATCCGAACACAATTGGCTAGTATGCATTTTACCGGTGAAGTGTATAAAACCAATGTGGAAGATATCGGGTAGGCAACCATTACAGATATCAAATGCACATGTCACAAAAAGTACATAACACTGCCTTTTCCAGACATAACAGGAATATAAAGTCAATAAAATAATGTTATTAACGCCTACACGAAGACATTTGTTTTAGCATATATTTGTTAGCAATCGTTTGTGGTCACGTGCATCGTGTATGGTTCATTACCTGTGATACTGAACAGGTAAGTCAGTGTTAACGTCACCTGTGAGATACATTAACAGGTCTATGGAGTACACGCAGCGTGACAATGGTGTAAGTGTAATGGTATTTGGTCGTTCTAGCTCTAATCACCTACCACATATTTACTGCCACATTACAAACGTTGAAGAGCACCATGGTGTTATATAAATAAATGAATGATGTAAACAACAAGTCATCATGGCCACAATATTGACAGCATTATGATAGAACAAGCTCATTCACTTAGCTGCGTAGCAACGCTGTTACAATCCCAAATAGCAAAATTTGGCAGTAGACGAATATAACGTACAAATGACAATATGATATTTTTTTTGTGCCCGAGATCACCTACTGATGTACCGAGATATTTATTAGCTTATGACATATTCGTCATAGTGTTAATTTATGAAATTGAAACAAACAATTTCTGGGATTCAAGTCCAAGTTCTTTAATAGGCCTTGAGCAATTTTGCTCATCAGCTAAACAATCAAATAACATGATATGTCATGGAGTACAAACAGTGCAAAGAGAATGCCATATCTGAGATGCATAACATAAAATCCTGCTGACATAAGTGTCAAAAAGATTTAACATTGTTTTTACATTTAGACTTAAAACTTTACATTTAGAGTATAAAGCAAAAAGAGCTTTTCTGCCTTGACCATATCAATAACTTTGGACAATAACTTAATTATTATTATATGTAAAATGCATAACTAGATAACAGAACTCATCAACAATTTAAATAGGGGTACCATCAAACATTTAGGTTTCATTTTCTGAAATTCTGTAACAATTACGGAAAACAACAATTTTAGTGTTATCAGTGTTAACAGTCAATTTCCAATCTGATGAATATTTATCATATTCTGGAGTCCTTTCTGATAACAACACTAAATCATCAGCGTATAATAGTAAGAATAGAGTAAGTTCACCAAAAGTATAGTAATCAGTATTATTATTAATAAAAAATGACTCACAAGGAGATACATTTTCTCCTTGTAATTCTCCCCTCCGCATTAAAGACATTTTGGTCTCTGTGGATAACATATAGTTAGATAGATAGATATTATTTGGGGAAAAGTCAGAATAATTTCCTTTAACTGTAACTCAGGATTTTATACAGCTGTAAGGGATTTAACAACTCTTCAAAATTTTCCACTAATTCCAGTCTTTATAAGTTTAGACCAGAGACTTGTTCTATCAACATAGTCGAATGCTTTCTTGAAATCAACAAAACAGCAATGCAACTTGTTCTTAGATGATAGTGCTTTAGTTATTATTGCATTGAGGGGAAAATAGCATCAACTGTACTTAATACTGGTCGGAAACCAAACTGTGCATCACTCAAGATGTCATTATTTTCACAAATGTTTAACAAACGATTAATCAAAATAGACGTAAATAGTTTACATACACAACTAACCAAGCTAATCCCTCTGAAGTCATTTGGGTCAGTTGAAATACGTTTTTTATGTACTGGAAAAATAATGGCCGATGACTAACATTCTGGAATATATCAAAAATGTAATTAAACATTTTAACTAGAAGAGGAACCAAGATGTGTTTACATTCAAAAAAAGACAATCATTTAAAATACCATCCAGGCCATGATATTAGCTTCTTTTAACTTACGAATTGTTGTAAGAATTTCCTCCTCCGTTATGCTAGCTTCAAGCTCTTCAAAGGCAATGTTATCTGAACTAGTACTATTTGTATCGTCATCTTGTGATTGATCAGAATGATCAGAAACAGTATTATTGTTTACTGGGTTCGCCTAATCCTTAAAATGTTCATATAACTGATTTAATTCAATTAACGGCACTTTGTTATTACGTTTAGTAAAAAGTTTATAAAATGACTTTGGGCTGTGTCTTTGTACAAATTTCAGCGTATCACCCTCTTCACTCAAATACTGTCTTTGATATTTAGATTCAACAGCCTTGTACCTTATCTTGTTGATAATCAAATTACTATGATTAATCAAGCTTTTGTCACGATTAAAATTTCTCAGAGCTGACAAGTAAGTTGTACGTAAGTTTATGAGATGATCATTAAACCAAGGTTTATGTTCAACAAATAATAAAGTATGACTTGCAAAATTTGTCATACGAGTTGACTGACTAGTAGCATTACTTTTAAAAACACGGAAAAATTCAAAAATTCCAAAAGATTCAAAATGAAGACCACACAGTATTGCATATGTCTCAATGAAACATGATGTGACTTGGTCACGATCCTTAGTTGTCCCGTTACACCTTGTTGACGCACTTTGCTGAATTTTAATTTTATTGTTCGTTACATGTTTCGTTATGATGGTATATTCTTTACATCCTGCTATACATCTCAATTAAAACATGTAAGATGTACTTGCAGTGGTAACTCATAGATAATCATAATCATGACTTCAACTGATTAAAGTATTTTAAAGTCTAACATACGATGCATAAACACCTGCTCATGTCACGCAAACCATTAAACACGTCTTTCATGCTATTTGTTGACTTAACACAAAACGATAAATAAGGTGTACATACAAAGTATTTCAAGGTGAGGTAAACCAAAACAGATTTTACTGAACATTTCAGTCTAAACTGATTAGGATAACAACGCTTAATTGAGTCGCAAAGAGGAACATATCAAAGAGGTAAGATAAAAGCAAAGCTGTGCATTTATAATGTTCAAACTGGAAATGAGTGTTAACTAGAATAGATCTTTCACGTAGCTATTGATCGATTAATTACATTGATTACCAGAATAGACCTTTCACGTAGCTATTGATCGATTAATTACATTGATTACATGAATAGTTCTTTCACGTAGCTATTGATCGATTAATTACATTGATTACCAGAATAGATCTTTCACGTAGCTATTGATTGTATAATTACATTGATTACCAGAATAGATCTTTCACGTAGCTATTGATCGATAAATTACATTGATTACCAGAATAGACCTTTCACGTAGCTTTTGATCGATTAATTACCTGAATAGACCTTTCACGGAGCTATTGATCGATTATTTACCTGAATAGATCTTTCACGTAGCTATTGATCGATTAATTACATTGATTACCAGAATAGATCTTTCACGTAGCTATTGGTCGATTAATTACATTGATTACCAGAATAGACCTTTCACGTAGCTTTTGATCGATTAATTACATTGATTACCAGAATAGATCTTTCACGTAGCTATTGATCGATTAATTACATTGATTACCAGAATATACCTTTCACGTAGCTATTGATCGATTAATTACCAGAATAGATCTTTCACGTAGCTATTGATCGATTAAGTACATTGATTACCTGAATAGATCTTTCACGTAGGTATTGATCGATTAATTACATTGATTACCAGAATAGACCTTTCATGTTGCTATTGATTTTTAATTACATTGATTACAAAGATAAATTAGCATCTTAATTTACAGATTACGATTGAAATATCAGTATTATTTATATTTGTGACACATTGTGTCTTTTCCCTAGACTTTTCCCTAAGAATGATAGAAGTCGTGTTAAGGTCATCCTCGATATCCAGGGGTTACGCTCATTTTCGCTTTCTACACCCCTGGAATATGTCATAGAATATTGAAGGCACGAAGATAGCTGTTTTATTGGTCTCAGGAAAAATACTGACCAATACCTAGGTTGACACCTGTCCTTTGAAGATTACAAAGGAGCGACATCCGACTTCAAAGCCTGTCAATTTTCATTTGATGTATATCAAAGGAACAAGGTGGCGCACACTGAAAGTTCAATTTTGCAGGGGTACAGCGAAGGTGAACGTAACCTCTGGATATCGAGGATATGTTTATGTAGGATGGTATCATTTTCATAGTGTCTATTACTTTCTAATGAAACATTTTGAAATCAATCAAATAATGTAGGCAATGAGGTAAAGAACATGAAGCACATTTACTTCATCTAACGCGGTAGTTGACATGTTTGTTTATTTTGAATAAATGGACTGTGTCTTACAATTGTAAACCATCATTTTGTTTTATTATTTTCCAACATTTGTTCACACCCTCGATGTGCAATCTGCCATGAAACAGGTACAAATGATACATATTTAAATTGGAGGTTCTGCAACTTTTCCTGTTTTTATTATTCTTCAACTTATTGGCATAAAGATATAACAAAACGTGTAGCACCAATGATAAGATTTCATGAATCAAAACAGGAATGTGTTGTGAATCAAACGTGTTGACATAATTAACCAATCAAATCCTGCCGAACTCCGACCGGTTTTCGAGTGCAGTTTTGAATGAACGGATGAACTCTTTGACCGATTCATTGCCGAGAGGTAGCAGGAGAAGAGATGCGCACGTGACTGCACGTGGAAGTTTGTCTGACGTTTTTTGAGCATTAAATGCTATCATGATGACACACTCTCCTGGAGGTAGTGAACGCATTCCTGTGATAAACTCATACAGGTTAACAGCCTGCTCGTCTGTAACAAGAATCAAATGTAAATATGAATGAATAGACAACATTTGATATAGCGGCCTATTAAGCTATAATAGGCCACTCTGTAACGTTTACAGTACACAGATATACAATTTATACAATAACGTTTAACTATATAATACATTAATCAATACAAATTTGAGAAATTTGCTCTTGCTGTTTTATCTGTTCTATAGTTCTAAGCCACCTTGCTAATATATCCATATGTGTGTATACCTGCATGTTGCCTAGATATCAATTGTGTTTTGTTTGTAGTGTGACCTTGCTTCCAACGGTATGTACAAATGTACCACGTAAAACAAACGTAATCCTTAGTTTTCATGAAAGCTACACATCATTGTGTTTCACAAATACAACAGGATTATATTATAACCGTAGTTATATTTCAACTCATTGTGTTCTGAGCAACTCATGCTTTTACATAACCCAGGGTCTAGTCTAGAGCACTAGTTTGGATTTTAATGAATTTATTCTAGTCGAGAGTACTACCTTTGTTAGAGTAGAGAAATATTCTAGCACGAGGTCTGGTCAGTCAATAACTTGTAAAACGGAATGACGCCTATTCTAATAAGTATTCTTGTTACTGTGTCTGACGTGTGGCTATGTGTGCTATACAAGTGTGACACCACGTTTATTTTTTAATCATTGTTCTGATTTGTTTAAATCCATATTTAGATTTATTGCTACGACGTGCCCCCTCCCCACATTTAGATTATAATGTCTCAAACTTAATAACAAGCCTATTGAGTTATGTTCGTAGTCAAATGAAAAGAGTTAGAGAAATAAATCACTCACCAGTCATGCTTGTCAAACATAAGGCAGCCCATTCTTTGACTTCATTCTGCTTCTCAGATGTGGTTTGTAAGTCCATCAGCGGATCAAGTAATTGGTTTTGCATAAATACACTGTCCACATAAAAGCCTTCGGTATGAACAAAAAATCGTTCCAGATCACTTCCATACTGTTTGACCTTGTCCAGAAATCCCAGACTTTGTAAACCCTCAGTTAGCTGTGCGAGGGCCTTCGTGCAACTTTGTAGTGTTATAAAGTTTTTTAAGTGGTACATTGTTTCTGTTTTTGTCTATGAGAAAGAAAAAACAAAAGAATAAGTCATAAAATGTGTGAAAAAAATGTAAGATTATAAGGCGATGTATAAAGGTAGAATTGTTACAATTTTGTTCAATGGTAGGATTGTTACAAAAAGAGCAAGATAATGGATTTTATGCTAAAAATGTAAGACTAAACCAAAATATATATTACTTAGTAAGTACAATATAGTAAAACAGTTTGTTTCGCAAATTGATACCTTATATTTGACAACGCTGAACGGATTTAAGGTTGCATTCGCTGTGATTATATAAATTTTCCGTTGTTTATGATAAAGTTATTGTTTTTCCTGTTTTATTTGTTTGTGAAATCATGTCATTCGTTATTTTACATATCATGTGTTCAACTTTTGATTTCACATTATATTGCTCCATGCGGTCACCCCTTTGCTTTTCAAGCAGATGAAAATAACATTTATGACAGTATTTCCATTTTAAACATTCAAAGTATTCGCTTTAATGGAAAAGCAATCAAAGGTTTACAAATTAAAGTGAAACCTGAAGTAATAGGTACGTTTAGCAGTTCACAGTTCCTTTCTGTAAAGCGCTTTAATACCGTATTTTGACCAATGGTAATTAGGAAATAAAAAACATTTCCTTTGTACCTATAACGGTAATATGCTGATCATCATTTGACATCTCAACACGGCGATACCTAAGGTGTCAATAATAAGTCATAACTGCTGTGGCAAGAGAAATAAGCATGGAGTCTGTTTCCGAAAAAAGAATGGAATTACATAAATGTCTGATTTATCTGGTCTATAGTGTGATGATTTTGAGATAATTCTTCATTTATTGTCATGGGAACTAATAACTATTTACTATTAGTCTATCTGTTACATTGCAGACAATACCGTTTCACATTCCGTGACCTGCATCTCTTTCAACAGGAGCTTGATCTCACTGTCTCCCAGGTAATGAAGCAGCTCCTCCTCGGTCCTAGCCTGAGTCTGAAACAAAATAGGATTGAGTTCATCTGCACACAATTACAAGAAATGAAAAGAGGACATGTTCCACCGTTCATCAGGTTTTTCTGTCAACTCATTTTCTGTCCATAAACTTATAAACTCTTCAATTACGAAAGACACTGTGCTCATCCAAAAAATGCTACGTTGATATAATTACAAATAGTTGGCGTAGTAATGTGTACAGCGCATCAAAGTTCAGGGTGTATCTAAGATAAGATATACTCCTTACTACTAGATTTTGTTTTTAAATGTCTTACATTTTTCTCTTAAAAAACATTGTTTCCTTATTTGTTGGTTGACGTCCAATATAAGATTTTTTTTTGTATTATTATTTTGACGTCCTTTTGCAATACAAATATTATTTGCGAACTTCAAACCATTAGAGAGACGGTTATTTGTTTTCAAAAATCACATACTGTATCAAAACTCGACCTGTGCATTTGGTATTTATCAATTGTGTTGTCAGGTTTTTTATATATTGAAATATATATATATTTATATAATACACAATTGTATCGATAAATTTTGACATCAAAATGCCCGAGTTACCCAGAACCGCTTTTAAGTGATTGTGTGATCGAGTTGGTCTTTATCAAATGCTACCGTGACAATTAGTATGATGCAGACATGTTGAGTATTTTTTTCAGTTATTATAATCTTCAATCGTTGGATCCGAACCTGGAAGGCAAAACCCTTGGATTTCGAGAATGTGATAGAACACGGGTTATTACACCATGCGTATAGAAATAAGTGTGTTATAGTTCATCTGTATTACCCTATAGCTATCATAATATGTATATATAAATGAATCACATTCGGCAAATGACATACACGAGGTTGTCCGAGTTTAGAAAAGGGCCTCGAAAAGTGTTGCTAATAGTTGCCCTATTACATGTACTTCATGACGATAACATCTATATATTTAAACTTAACTTACCTGAGCCTTGGTGAGTTTTTGAAGTAATTTTGCCATGTTTTCATGTTCGGGAACACCTTCTTTATATAATATTTTCTTGTAACAGCTTCTCGCTAGGTACGGAAAGCCTGCCCCTTGCTGCACGAGGGAGAGGACAATCGCCCTCCCGAGACAGAAAAACCAGCGGCCAGTCAATGCAGCTGGATTGTCAACCGGAAACAGTTCCTGACCTCGACCACTAAACATGCATCTTTCCGGAGTCAAACATTCTTGATAAAATAGGGTAAATAACTGATTTCTTGGTCCACCTCCATCCGTAGCTGGCTCTGTCCATCCATCGTTTGTAAATTTAACCTCAAACCGGGACTTTTCGGCCTCAGGCCTTAGGAGAATTTCAACTAAATCTTTGAATACATTTTCTCGTCTTACAGTTACTTGGCATTTTGTCAGATACGATGAGAGCTCAGCTAATATTTCCCCGTAGCTTGATGGCCGTTGTGCACACGCCATTTTAGAAAGAACACTTGTAACGCCAAAATCTCATGATAAAACTACCCTGTTCGTTCTCCGATCACGTTCCGACCAAGCCGTCGTATACATTTTCAACATAATATAAAAATTGGCAAATATCCAAGTTATGTTACTTCCTGGTTGCTCTTTAATAACGGGAAACCATGTTCGGTCAATCGTGAGATCCTGAGCATAGTAGGCGCCTTTTAGATTTCCAGCGTCAAATTAAATCTATACTTTGTACTTACAAGTGCAGGGGTCTTAATGTTCGTGCAGCATATAAGTGTTGTCATGTCACGTTTTAGTAGGTGCAATAAATTCTTCTTTTTATCTATATCATACTTTTCAAACTATAAAAGGTTGGTATAAATATAATTATAAGCATTCATATATTGTGAACGTATATATAGTAACACAGAAGTAGTGTTATCCCTCGCCGTTTGTTGGTTACCCATTAGCAGTTAAAAGCTCGGAATGCTATGATGTCGCATTCTTCTGTTGAACAGTTTCCCCTACTGAGGAGGTCAGTTACGGCATGTCTGTATAACCTTTGCTGTCTATCTTGGCCCCTACTGAGGAGGTCGATTACAACCTTTACTGTCTATCTAGGCCCCTACTACACAGTGTGTGTATAAACTTTAATGTCTATCTTGGCCCCTACTGAGGAGGCCGGTTACGGCCTGTACACACACAGAGTCTCTATAACCTTTACTGTCTATCTGTGCCCCAACTGAGGAGGTCGGTTAAGGCCTGTACCCACACAGTGTCTCTATACCCTTTACTGTCTATCTAGGCCCCTACTGAGGAGGTCGATTACGGCCTGTACACACACAGTGTGTGTATAAACTTTACTGTCTATCTTGGCCCCTACTGAGGAGGTCAGTTACGGCCTGTCTGTATAACCTTTGCTGTCTATCTTGGCCCCTACTGAGGAGGTCGATTACGGCCTGTACACACACAGTGTCTCTTTAACCTTTACTGTCTATCTAGGCCCCTACTGAGGAGGTCGATTACAACCTTTACTGTCTATCTAGGCCCCAACTGAGGAGGTCGGTTAAGGCCTGGTCACACACAGTGTCTCTATAACCTTTACTGTCTATCTAGGCCCCTACTGAGGAGGCCGATTACGCCCTGTACACACACAGTGTCTCTTTAACCTTTACTGTATATATGGGCCCCTACTGAGGAGGTCGGTAACGGCCTGTACACACACAGTGTCTTTATAGCCTTTACTGTCTATCTAGGCCCCTGCTAAATAGGTCGGTTACGGCCTGTACACGCACAGTGTCTCTATAACCTTTACTCTATATATAGGCCCCTACTGAGGAGGTCGGTTACGGCCTGTCTCTATAACCTTTACGGTTTATCTTGGCCCCTACAGAGGTCACACACACAGTGTCTCTATAACCTTTATTGTCTATCTAGGCCCCTACTGAGGAGGTCGGTTACGGCCTGTACACACACACCTTGTCTGTATAACCTTTACTGTCTATCTAGGCCCCTACTGAGGAGGTCGGTTACGGCCTGTACACACACAGTGTCTGTATAAACTTTACTGTCTATCTAGGCCCCTACTGAGGAGGTCGGTTGCGGCCTGTACACACACAGTGTCTCTATAACCTTTGCTGTCTATCTAGGCCCCTACTGAGGAGGGCGGTTACGGCCTGTACACACACACCTTGTCTGTATAACCTTTACTGTCTATCTAGGCCCTACTGAGGAGGTCGGTTACGGCCTGTACACACACAGAGTCTCTATAACCTTTACTGTATATATGGGCCCCTACTGAGAAGGTCGGTTACGGCCTGTACACACACAGTGTGTGTATAAACTTTACTGTCTATCTAGGCCCCTACTGAGGAGGTCGGTTACGGCCTGTACACACACAGTGTCTGTATAACCTTTACTGTCTATCTAGGCCCCAACTGAGGAGGTCGGTTTTGGCTTGTACACACACAGTTTTCTCTGAAAATTGCTGTCTATCTAGGCCCCTTCTGAGGAGGTCGGTTACGGCCTGTACAAACACAGCGTCTCTATAACCTTTACTGTCTATCTAGGCCCCAACTGAGGAGGTCGGTTTTGGCTTGTACACACACAGTTCTCTATAAAATTTACTGTCTATCTAGGCCCCTACTGAGGAGGTCGGTTACGGCCTGTACACACACAGAGTCTCTATAACCTTTACTGTCTATCTAGGCCCCTACTGAGGAGGTCGGTTACAGCCTGTACACACACAGTGTCTCTATAACCTTTACTGTCCATCTGGGCCGCTACTGAGGAGGTCGGTTACGGCCTGTACACACACAGAGTCTCTATAACCTTTACTGTCTATCTAGGCCCCTACTGAGGAGGTCGGTTACGGCATGTACACACACAGAGTCTGTATAACCTTTACTGTCTATCTGGGCCCCAACTGAGGAGGTCGGTTAAGGCCTGTACACACACAGTGTCTCTATAACCTTTACTGTCTATCTGGGCTCCTACTGAGGAGGTCGGTTACGGCCAACACATACAGTGTCTGTATAACCTTTACTGTCTATCTAGGCCCCTACTGAGGAGGTCGATTACGGCCTGTACACACACAGTGTCTCTATAACCTTTACTGTCTATCTGGGCCCCTACTGAGGAGGTCGGTTACGGCCTGTACACACACAGTGTCTCTATAACCTTTGCTGTCTATCTAGGCCCTTACTGAGGAGGTCGGTTACGGCCTGTACACACACAGTGTCTCTATAACCTTTACTGTCTATCTGGGCCCCTACTGAGGAGGTCGGTTACGGCCTGTACACACACAGTGTCTCTATAACCTTTGCTGTCTATCTAGGCCCCTACTGAGGAGGTCGGTTACGGCCTGTACACACACAGTGTCTCTATAACCTTTACTGTCTATCTAGGCCCCTACTGAGGAGGTCGGTTACGGCCTGTACACACACAGTGTCTCTATAACCTTTACTGTCTATCTAGGCCCCTACTGAGGAGGTCGGTTACGGCCTGTACACACACAGTGTCTCTATAACCTTTACTGTCTATCTAGGCCCCTACTGAGGAGGTCGGTTACGGCCTGTACACACACAGTGTCTCTATAACCTTTACTGTCTATCTAGGCCCCTACTGAGGAGGTCGGTTACGGCCTGTACACACACAGTGTCTCTATAACCTTTACTGTCTATCTAGGCCCCTACTGAGGAGGTCGGTTACGGCCTGTACACACACAGTGTCTCTATAACCTTTACTGTCTATCTAGGCCCCTACTGAGGAGGTCGGTTACGGCCTGTACACACACAGTGTCTCTATAACCTTTACTGTCTATCTAGGCCCCTACTGAGGAGGTCGGTTACGGCCTGTACACACACAGTGTCTCTATAACCTTTACTGTCTATCTAGGCCCCTACTGAGGAGGTCGGTTACGGCCTGTACACACACAGTGTCTCTATAACCTTTACTGTCTATCTAGGCCCCTACTGAGGAGGTCGGTTACGGCCTGTACACACACAGTGTCTCTATAACCTTTACTGTCTATCTAGGCCCCTACTGAGGAGGTCGGTTACGGCCTGTACACACACAGTGTCTCTATAACCTTTACTGTCTATCTAGGCCCCTACTGAGGAGGTCGGTTACGGCCTGTACACACACAGTGTCTCTATAACCTTTACTGTCTATCTAGGCCCCTACTGAGGAGGTCGGTTACGGCCTGTACACACACAGTGTCTCTATAACCTTTACTGTCTATCTAGGCCCCTACTGAGGAGGTCGGTTACGGCCTGTACACACACAGTGTCTCTATAACCTTTACTGTCTATCTAGGCCCCTACTGAGGAGGTCGGTTACGGCCTGTACACACACAGTGTCTCTATAACCTTTACTGTCTATCTAGGCCCCTACTGAGGAGGTCGGTTACGGCCTGTACACACACAGTGTCTCTATAACCTTTACTGTCTATCTAGGCCCCTACTGAGGAGGTCGGTTACGGCCTGTACACACACAGTGTCTCTATAACCTTTACTGTCTATCTAGGCCCCTACTGAGGAGGTCGGTTACGGCCTGTACACACACAGTGTCTCTATAACCTTTACTGTCTATCTAGGCCCCTACTGAGGAGGTCGGTTACGGCCTGTACACACACAGTGTCTCTATAACCTTTACTGTCTATCTAGGCCCCTACTGAGGAGGTCGGTTACGGCCTGTACACACACAGTGTCTCTATAACCTTTACTGTCTATCTAGGCCCCTACTGAGGAGGTCGGTTACGGCCTGTACACACACAGTGTCTCTATAACCTTTACTGTCTATCTGGGCCCCTACTGAGGAGGTCGATTACGGCCTGTACACACACAGCGTCTCTATAACCTTTACTGTCTATCTAGGCCCCTACTGAGGAGGTTGGTTACGGCCTGTACACACACAGTGTCTCTATAACCTTTACTGTCTATATTGGCCCCTACTGAGGAGGTCGATTACGGCCTGTACACACCCAGTGTCTCTAAAACCTTTACTGTCTATATATGCCCCTACTGAGGAGGTCGATTACGGCCTTTACACATCCAGTGTCTCTAAAACCTTTACTGTCTATCTAGGCCCCTACTGAGGAGGTCGATTACGGCCGATACACACACGGTGTCTCTATAACCTGCCGTCTATCTAGGCCCTACTGAGAAAGGTCGGTTACGGCCTATACACACACAGTGTCTCTATAACCTTTACTGTCTATATACAGCTCGCGCAATGTATGAATTCTGATGATTATCTTACCCTTAAAGTACTCGTAATTGTCTTGAGATATTTTTTAAAGGTACCCCTTTTAAAACTGTTGTCCTTGTGGTACGTTGTGTAATATGTTTTTGCAAATTTCAAACACATACGGTATAATAGCTGAAAGTGAAAAGCGCTTTTGTTCATACAAATATGTATGGTGTATTGTAATCACGCGGTTATTATATGAGGTATTACATCAATATAAATAATTCGTGTCTTGATATTGATATTGAGGTGCAATCCATATCGAGGTAATGTCGAGTATAATCAGCTCACTTGTACAAGCTTGTAAAACAGGGTATCGGGTTGGGGGGAAAACGCGCAATGGTAGCATTCACTACAACGTTTACATGTAACATATCTTTGTCGCCAAGTGATTTATGTATATTGAACAGTGCACAGGGTTGTAAGAATCTATTCGTTTCGCTTGGGTGATTTTGATTGAATGTTGAATTGATTGTTTTAGAATGT